AGTGTAATAATACTAGAAGCAGAAGATCCCCTGCCTCTCGCCACCGGTCAGAAGGAGAGGACCTGAGAGACAGGGAATGGAAACAGGTCCCTGCTCAGGGCGGCAGATGAATCCCCCTCCCGGCCTCCCTCTTCACCCAGGTGCCCTTACACAAATAGGTATGAGGCTGTAGAACCAAGGGCCGGGCAAATGATGAGGTGGACGAAGGCCACAGACAGGGTTGCCCAGAGCTAGATAGTCAGCCCCATGCATCACGACTGCCTCCACGAATTCAAAAAGGAGGGTCACTGTCATCCCTAGTCAATAACTGCCATTTTGTATGTATATCCAAGCTGTAACCACCACAAGAAAAATATTCACACTAAGCATTGAGAAACAATTAATCATGCAGGAAATACCAAAATATACGGTCATAGCAATCATGCGAAGTTAATTAATCAACAGGTAAAATGGGAATAGTTTTGATGCTCACTTTTCTAGTAAGATGAAATTCATTTGCTTACTATTAAAAACTACTCATTAAACAAAGAAGGAAACCTGCATAAGACAAGAGACACAACCAAGAGAGCTTTTATTTTGCTAGGTGTGGGGCAGAAACAGTGAAGGCATGATAGCAAGGATTTAACCCTTACTAACTGCCCACATTACCTGTCAGGCTTGTGTTACTGTACTGAACACTATTCTTCTATGTTTTTTGAGGTAAAATGAGGTTTGTCGCTGGTGGTGTACACATGCTGCAAGTCATTCTGTTCCCAAAATCAAATTTTTTGAGAATCCCCACCTGCCCCTTTGATAAAGACTGCTAATAGTTGCAATTAACAGTATGCATTTCAGAATGAGTAGTTCAGAATAAGCATGATTTTGAATCCTGTTTTCTTACTCTGACAAGAGTATTTTCTTACCCTGACAGAATATTTTCTTACACTGTTGGTCAAACTGTGCTTACTGTACACTGTACTGCTTACTTTGCAGTGGTGGAGCTGTGCAGCAAGGATCTGGCTATCTCAGACTCCACAGTGAATTAATTTCTGAATCTCATGAATATCTACTCTTTTTGTAGCTATGAGATACAAAAATATATCACAGTGAATTAAACACCTGATCTCTATTATTCCAGTCTTGGAATGAAAGAATTGAGACTGTTCAGGAAGGACAGGCAGAGGACATGAGGAGGGGGTGTCGCCCTCTGTGCCAATGAACAACTGGGAGTGCATGGAGCTCCACCAAGAGCTTATGGATCAGGTTAAAGGGAGGGCAGGGACAAGTAGTATTATAGTGGGGGTCTACTATAGACCATGCGATCAGGAAGACTGAACGGAGGAGGCCCTCTATAAACAGATAAGAACAGATTCTTGTTCACAGTCCCTGGTCCTCATGAGGGACTTCAATCACTCTGTTTTCAGTTTGTGGGACAACGCAGCAGGGCATAAGCAGTCCAGGAGATTGCTGGACTCAGTTAATGTTAGCTTCCTTCTCCAGGTGCCAATGTGGAGAGGTGTTATGCTGGACCTTGTACTCACCAACAAGGAGGGGCTGGTGGGGAATGTGAAGGTCAAGGGCAGCCTTGGCTGCAGTGACCACAGAATGGTGGAGTTTAAGATCCTTAGGGCAGTAAGAAGGGTGCACAGCAAGCTTGCTACCTTGGACTTCAGGAGAGCAGATGGCCTCAAGGATCTGCTTGGTAGAATACCATGGGATAAAGCCCTAGAGGGAAGAGGGGCACAAGAAAGATGGTTAATATTCAAGGATCACCTCCTTCAAGCTCAGGAGTGATGCATCCCGACCAAGAAGAAGTCAGGCAGAAATGCCAGCAGGCCTACATGGATGACAAGGAGCTCCTGGCCGAACTCAAGCAGAAAAAGGAGGCCTACAGAGCATGGAAGTAAGGACAGGTAGCTTGGGAGGAATACAGAGAAATCGTCCGAGTAGCCAGGGAACAAGTCAGGAAAGCTAAAGCTCTAACAGAATTAAACCTGGCCAGGGACGTCAAAGGGAACAAGAAAGCCTTCTGTAGGTGTGTCGGTGATTGAAGGAGAACTAGGGAATATGTGGGCCCTCTCTGGAAGAAAGCTGGAGACCTGGTTACCCATGATGTGAAGAAAGCTGAGGTGCTTAACGACTTTTTTGCCTCAGTCTTCAACAGCAAATGCTGTAGCCACACTGCCCAAGTTGCAGAAGGCAAAGGCAGGGACTAGGAGAATGAAGAACTGTCCACTGTAGGAGAAGACCAGGTTCGAGACTGCCTAAAGAACCTGAAGCTGCACAAGTCCATGGGGCCTGATGAGATGCATCCGTGGGTCCTGAGGGCAGGACCTCCTACCCCTCTACTCTGCCCTAGTGAGGCCCCATCTGGAGTACTCTGTCCAGTTCTGTGCTCCCCAGTTCAAGAAAGGTAAGGAGCTACTGGAGAGAGTCCAGCGGAGGGCTACGAGGATGA